TGATTGGTCAAATGTTGCTAACCCCGTCCCTTTCACCTGAGCGCGCTCTCAGCCGGACAGAGAAACCCTGGTTGATTTACTGAGAGCTTCGTAGGACCACTTATCGACATCGCGTTTGTTAGGGTCAGTTAAGCCGGGTAAATCGAACATATCCAGGTCCAGGGTCTGTTGAACTGGCTTCGTCGTACAGGGCACTGGAGGCAGTAACGTGTAACTCAGCAGAATCTGAGAAGAGCAGCACCAGCTGCAAAGAGCTGTGCCTTTTACTGTTTACTTCACTAGAACCGCTGAATAGAGATTGTTGGAGATTTAAAGGGATAACTGGTCCGCTTTTCAAATCTCCGCGCGTTCCTATGAAGCTGGTTATAATACAGGAAGGAATCCATATATACAAAGTAACCGTTAACAATAATCTACTTTAATGGCAATATGACAATGCAATACAATCATTACAACACAACATGATATATTACAGTTATATTGCAATGCTTAAGGAGTAATGCCGGCTTACTCCTGCTCTGGTCCGCATACTGCAGAGCTACTTTCACCCGAGGGCAGCATGTGAAGAAGAGGCCGAACGCCAGGGATCCACCGGATATATACCAGAGTAAGAAGGAGGGGTTTGGTGTTAGGTCAGCTGGTCATCTGTTCAGGTCATCTCATTGGGAGACGCAACGCAGCAGGAAACACAGCAGGAAACCAAACAGGCTCACTTTACAACAAAAGGTCTCAAGGCCTGCATACCTACACCTCCCCCACAGAGCCATAAAACCCTGTTTACTCCAACCAGCCCAGAATGTTTATAGCCATTTGTAGTCCTTACATTTATGAAAGGATAAAACAGAGAAATCAATATAAAACACAAACACAGGTATTGTTTGAACAGTATTCACTTAACTGCTACTGTTGATAACCACCAGAGAAACCCAAGGGACCTCTCTTAATAGCACAAACACTGCAGCTAGATCTAAGTTGAATGCAAATCAGGACATGCTCTCACCTTCCCCCATCTTCCTTTGTCCTCAAAAACACATGTCAACAGGCCCCAAATGCAGCTCACAGTTTTACCCAAATTATTCTCATTTTAAGCTTATCCATAGTTTGCTAACATGAATAAATACAAATATAACTCTACAAGATCGAGGCTGCTACGTTTAACCACACACACCTATACACACATCAAACTACCTGAGTATTCCCCCTCGCTTTATGAAGGAGATGTCCTGTCACCGGGGCGCATGGTGTGTGTGTGTGTGTGTGTGTGTGTGTGTGTGTGTGTGTGTGTGTGTGTGTGTGTGTGTGTGTGTGTGTGTGCTCAGCTCTGTGTGCGTGAATCCGACACCACCGGCATTTGTTTTCAAATTACCACGAACAGCACACGCACACACACACACAAAACGAGGCCATGCTTTAGTAACTCGTGCGCACGAGTTACTAAAGCGTGCGCACGAGAAAGTAAAACGTGGCCACGTTTTATTTATGTTTCTCTCTATGAACCCTCCAGGGCTCCGTAGCTAATGCTGGTTAGTAGGTTTAGTTTAATTGCAGCTTTTGTTAACATAAGCTAGCAAGCTCATATGAATTCAGTTTTTACCTCGGTAATGCACAATACTACTAAACAATTAACCCTTTGCTGTCAGTAAAACGTTTTTACATATTAGAGAACTTAAAACTATAATCAAATTATGTTTACAATGTCAAGATACAACTCTGATAGTAAACTTTTTCAAAAGTTTTAAGGAGGAAGTGTCGGTTGCAACACAGTCTCACGGCATTTCGTGTTATAGTCACGAAATTAATCTATCGATTCGTGATTTTCAAAATGTTTTCGCGTCACACAGAACAATTTTAAAAGCAATGTAAATTAAAAATGTTAAAATAAAAGGGTTAGGCTTAGGGTAAGATATTGAGTAAGACATTTTTTTTATGAACCTCACAGCTTCTGGTATTCCAAGACCCGACCGGACAAAGACGTGCTGCAGGCACGAAACACACGACCAATAGAAATACATTGCTTTTAAAATCGTTCTGTGAAACGAAAAAAAAATGCTAAAATCGTGTTGGTGAACACGAATCAATAGATTCAATTAATTTCGTGACTATAACACGAAATACCGTGAGACTGGGTTGGCACATAGCAGGTGAGGCCTTCTCCTGTTTGACACTTATTGACATGGATGTGCCAAAAGTGAGGAGGAACTGCAGTAAAGACAGCAACACTTTCCACACACTGCCAACAATGTAAACCTGTTCATGAACCACTTCTTTGCTAAATTGACTGTTGGACTGCATGTCCATGTTTCAATCTATTGTATGTATACATAATTGATTATCCTGCACATGCACCAAAACTCAATAATGCGGAATCAGTAGGCATGGACAAGCTGTTTATGTGATTCCTTATTTTAGGAGATAAGGGAGGGTATTGTAATTCAAACCGGAGAGACGTGATGTAAGAATTACATATTTATTGTTTACACGTCATATGAATGAAATGATTGCCATGATAATACAACAGGAGAATGTAATGGTGTTTGGCGAGTAGGCCTCGGTTTGCAGGATAATCATTCAGGAGGGAAAGAACCGCTCCGATGAAATCCCCGGGGTCTAGACACTGGTGGTGGTGATGAGTAGGTGAGACCGGTCTGAAGGAGGAAGGTTTAGCTTTGTCCTGAAGGAGACAGGAGGCGAGAGGGGTGGAGGCGGGTTGCGTGTGGTCACCTGAAATGACAACTGACAGGGAGGAAGAGCAGGCATTTAAGGAATTTAGCATGTGCAGCGATTGGCTGCTGAGGGGTGACGCCCTCGTATTTAATGAGGGGGGAAGGGAGCCATAGAGTGACGTGTAAGTGACTCGTGTTAGGTCTTCCTTATTGAACTTGCGCTAAAGCTTTCATTTGTCAACACAGTGCTTTTGGCAGAACTGTATTTTATTATGGTCATGCCATTAAAGCTATTTAATTTGACTGTGAATTACCCGACACAAGGATGAAGATGATATATATTATGTCTGCTGTCTCAGAGTCATGTCATGTTTAGATAATGAAGGAACATTTAGATGGTTTTGCTCCATCAATCACTCAGAAGCAGTACCGTGTGACAGTGTTTCTTTCCTTCCTTGTTACAATGATAACAAGACAGTAATTGATACGTTGGTCAGTGTGCTAATAATCAATCAATGTGTAAATTGCGTACAAACGATGGTGTGTGTGACAGGTACCAAATTATACCTATAGCATCCTTGTTATATGGACATTTATAGATTAAGGGCTGCTTTTATTATCCTTACAATGCTATCTCTCAATTGTATTATAAAATATATTACTACTATTGCTTACATCTCTATAGTATTATCAGTTCATAAGCACATTGTTTTTTTTGCTGTTTTGCACAACGCAATGTCGTATTATCAGTAGACATAAAACACAGGATGTTCAACACATCAGCTCATTGTATAAATCATTTGACATTTAAAGGAGCTATTATCTGCTAATAAGTGTCATGGGGAAGGTTAAAGAGAAAAACACTACAATATGTCAGTTACACAGGTCCAGTATCCGGTGATATCAAAGTATTTAAAGAGGACATATCCTGCTGATGTTCAGGTGTATATCAGTATGTAGTGTCTCTACTTTAAAGAGTCCTCTCCTGCTGATGTTCAGGTGTATATCAGTATGTAGTGTCTCTACTTTAAAGAGTCCTCTCCTGCTGATGTTCAGGTGTATATCAGTATGTAGTGTCTCTACTTTAAAGAGTCCTCTCCTGCTGATGTTCAGGTGTATATCAGTATGTAGGTCTCTACTTTAAAGAGTCCTCTCCTGCTGATGTTCAGGTGTATATCAGTATGTAGTGCCTCTACTTTAAAGAGTCCTCTCCTGCTGATGTTCAGGTGTATATCAGTATGTAGTGTCTCTACTTTAAAGAGTCCTCTCCTGCTGATGTTCAGGTGTATATCAGTATGTAGTGTCTCTACTTTAAAGAGTCCTCTCCTGCTGATGTTCAGGTGTATATCAGTATGTAGTGTCTCTACTTTTAAAGAGTCCTCTCCTGCTGATGTTCAGGTGTATATCAGTATGTAGTGTCTCTACTTTAAAGAGTCCTCTCCTGCTGATGTTTCAGGTGTATATCAGTATGTAGTGTCTCTACTTTAAAGAGTCCTCTCCTGCTGATGTTCAGGTGTATATCAGTATGTAGTGTCTCTACTTTAAAGAGTACTCTCCTGCTGATGTTCAGGTGTATATCAGTATGTAGTGCCTCTACTTTAAAGAGTCCTCTCCTGCTGATGTTCAGGTGTATATCAGTATGTAGTGTCTCTACTTTAAAGAGTCCTCTCCTGCTGATGTTCAGGTGTATATCAGTATGTAGTGTCTCTACTTTAAAGAGTCCTCTCCTGCTGATGTTCAGGTGTATATCAGTATGTAGTGTCTCTACTTTAAAGAGTCCTCTCCTGCTGATGTTCAGGTGTATATCAGTATGTAGTGTCTCTACTTTTAAAGAGTCCTCTCCTGCTGATGTTCAGGTGTATATCAGTATGTAGTGTCTCTACTTTAAAGAGTCCTCTCCTGCTGATGTTCAGGTGTATATCAGTATGTAGTGTCTCTACTTCTCATACTGCCTGTGCTGCAGCACCTCTTTTCACCCTCCGTCTGAAACCAGAGCCCAGCTCTGATTGGTTATCAGAGCAGACTGGCTGGCTCTGTTGTGATTGGTTAAACGCTTAGAGATGTCACGTACAGTACAATGTGTTGGAGCACTGGCCAATAGGAGCGAGAGTGTTACATAGTGATGACAATATGTGTAGGAGAGAAACTCCCTCTACAGACCATTTACATGCACTAAAACCTATATAACACACTACAGGAAAGGGGAAAAGCATAATAGGGCATTCTTTTTCGTGAAGCACGTTATTGGATTTATTCTGAATCCTGATCATATTATATAACACTGCCCTCATCTGGTCATTTCCAGAGTCCACTAACATAATGAATAATGAGAGCATATTGAAATGAAAATCACAGGCTATTTTAATGACTGAGTGGATTGTTCATTTATACAGTGTGCTTTGCAAAGAAAAAAAAAACATTTTAAAGATCTCCGTCTGTATAAAAAAAAAAAAACCACGTTGTACCATTACTACTTGGAAATAACATTAGAGAAATACTTTACAATTAAAACATGTCAGCATTACTGAGGATGTACAATATAATCACATCTACAGAGGTGATCTATACAATTGCAGCCTACAGGGGGACTTGCATATATAAAGTACCAATAAAACAGCCAGGAAAATAAAAATATGTACATTTTCCCGCTCGGATAATTCAATTATATAAACATCGATTTATAGACTTTCTTTTCTTTTTTCTATACACCCAATTTAAGGAACATAAAGTGCCTTATTAGAAAGAAAAAAAAAACCTAGTGACATGTGCTCCATGAGAATCATTTAAATGACAAAAATACAGTACAAAATGCACACATATTAATTAGGAATCAGCGCTCTGAGGGTCTACTCACACACATGTGGATTCAAAGAGTTTAAATAAGAAACACACTGCTGTCGTTCACATTACATGAGATCCTGTGAGGAGTAAGGCAGGTATTTGTAGTACCGAACACGCACTTATAGCCAGTTTCAAACACATTCGTTTAGTGGTACCATTAAGGGTGTTAAAGGATTTATTTGCCCACAAAATAATATCAATTAATTCCCCTCTAAACCTTGAATTCTTGTAGAAAACTGTTACTTTTCATAAGGCTGGGGAATATATCAATGTTGTATCTGTATTTTGTATTTTATAATATGTTGTAAATGTATTGGTTTTAAATTGGCTGTAAAATAAATGTATCACTGTTCGAGCTCTTGATTGTTCGCCTTTATCCATTTTTCAACATCATGTATTCTTGTTCATCAAGAATCTTATAGTGAAGCACCAATATCGATAATGGGATATTGAATCGAAGAGTTAAACAACTAGGATAATTATTGATACATTGAAGTAAATGAAAGTGGTTTAATAACAGCTTAAATGTACGAAAACATCAATACTACAAAATAAACGAGACTTGGTTTATACTGCAAAAAATATGAATGAGAGTTTGGATGTTTCGGTATAATTTTAGTGTTGGGAAACCGTACATTTCTCATTGTCTTGTTGTCTTCGTTCACCGTAAAGCATGTGATTTCTTCAACAACTTAAAGGTGAGTAATTCATAATCATTTTGTGGGTGAATGATTCCTTTAATAGGAGCTACAAAGATCTCTATGTGCATAGTCTTCCCTCAGAAGGAAGTAGAAGAAGGCAGGTGAAGGCGTGGGGAGGCGTTTCCCCGGAGGTGATCACCCTCCAGCAGTCAGTCTTTCTGGGGTGTGTTTCGGGAGGTGTGTGTGTGGGGTGTGTTCCCAATCTTTCATTCAGTGTTGGCACCAGGTACCTCCATCATGGACGCACCTACAAACTAACTCCTCGAGTCCTGAACTCCACGGAGAACGTCTGAGGAGGGGAACCGATCTGAGGCTTCTTTAGCTTCAGATCAGCGACAGTAGTGTCTCCAGCTGTTAGCAGGTTAGCATGCAGTCAGTTATTAACGGACCACAGGCTTTTTACTCCTCCGTCTAAGTGCTTTACTGGCTAGCATTAGCAGCTAAGGCCGATGAAACCTGGAAGACAAAGAGGGGAAAAGGTTATTGCAGCTGCGGACGTCTTTCTAATAACCTTCCAAAGAGATCTAAGGATGATCTTCTGGTGTTCAGGTGAATAATGGATGTATAGGAGGTAGGATTCTGACCGGGTGTAGATCCTGCTTTCTTCGTGAACCTCCATCTCGGAGCTCTTGAATTCGTTGAGCTCTTTACGGATGGCAGCCTGAGGGCAGACAAAGAGAAACGCTAATTCAGCTTTTATTCATTCACAACGAGGCACAGAGGAAGAAAGGCAGCGTGGGGATACAGCTGAAGATGTTTAGAGCACTGCTGACTATCACTTAATTATTTTTTATTTTGTTATGTTTAATTATTTGAATATATATATTTTTGTATTCTTTTTTGTTTAATTAATTATTTTATCCTAAACTAGGATAAAGAAACAGCTAAAGATAGATAGAGAAAATACGTTAATCTAGTGGAAAATAGTACAAAGTTAAATAAAAAGCCTCAAATGATACAAGAGTTTCTGCTATAATGGCTATAAGATAAAAGAAATATGCTTTATGGTTTTCAAACGGGACATTTTAGTTCTTACTTTATTAAAGACATATTATAGGGGAAGAGTTTCAACTTAATAAATGAAAAAATAAAGCACAATAAGCTTAGGCCATTTGCAAAAACAGCCAAATTGGTAACAAAATGAAACGGTAAAGAATATGTGCTTGAAGTAACTTCATATAATCCCAGTTCCTTCATGTTTCCTGAGCCTTACAGAACCAGGTCATTCACTGGGTAAAACTCAGCTCAGACATTAAGCAGTGTGAACAACTAGTGTGTGGGTGTGTGTGTGTATTGGATTCCTGGGATTCCTCCTCGATACTCAATCTGCTTGGAATGCAAATCCTCCATCGCTGGTAAAACCTCTCAGGGATCAGAAGTGTGTGTCTGTGTGTGTGTAGATGAATTTGTGTGTGTGTGTCTCACCTTGTCAACAGGAGTGAGTGTGTAGATGAAGGTGTGTGTTTGTGTGTAAATGAAAGTGTGTGTGTGTGTGTTCCTACTTTGTCGGCAGGAGTGAGCTTGGTCCACGGTTTATCGGCTCTCCGGTCGTACTCGTGTGCGTGCGTGCTCTCCACGTTCTGATGGAAACGGAGGATCTTCCTCGCCTCGAGCTCGGCCACCGTGGGTCTCTGAGAGAGCTGAGGGCCAAGAAGAAGTGTTAAATGACATCGGTTGTACATATACATCTAAAAACATGAATAAAAGGATCAGTTTAAATAAAGTGTGTGTATCTGGTCCACGTGTGTGATTCAGGTCTCGTGTTCATCCTGACCTTTCTGGTGAGCCTCCGTTTGATCTCACATCGCTCTAATCGCCGGTCGTCTTCGTTCTTGGCTGCAGGAAGAAAAAACACATTCCATGAGAGGAGGAAACACAGCAGGCAGTCAGCTGCTTCACCCGAGACGTCGTAACGGGAAGCTTTAATCACGCCGAGTCGTTTCAGGACAGCAGAGCGGCGCCGTGGAGGAAAACGAGATCAAAACGTGTCGACAGATCCTGAAGAATCACGATAACACTTCACGTTCTGGAGCCAACTGTGAGAAGTGATGCTTCAGGACTGCACATTTTTAGTGCAATCACTGTTTTTTAACCAATTAAACCAGGGGTGTCCAAACTTTTTTAACCGAGGGCCACATACAGAAAGCTACAGAGAGGCGAAGTCCCTCCCTTTCCGCGGGAGCTCCATGGGACCTTATTTCGGAAGAATTATGTTATTGAAGTCAATGGGGAGAGAAAGATTATCTTTCGATCCCGTTTGAATTGTGCCACGAATTACACATATGATGTTTGTCAATTGAAAAGATAATTTTGCAAGTCAAACATTTTTAAATGTGTCGTAAAACTGTGAAGTAACACTTTTTTTTGTGTGAAACGCTCAATGAACTACATCTCCCATCTCGCACCAACACTAAGACGGCCGTCACGTTGGAACATTTCACTTCTTTCTTTCAGAATGAGACGAAAAGTATTAAACGAGGTGAAAATCACTCCAAGTCTGGGCGTGTTGAGAGCTGTGCACACACACAAGGGGAGTTAGTCGGTTCCTAAGAGCCAGCATGCGGGACCGGGGATTCTGGGATTTGTAGTCTTTCTAGTTGCATATTTTTCATAGTCTTATATTTCAACAGTTTTACGACAAACTGTGACTTTTTTGCTTTGGAAATTATTTTTTAAGATGGACAAACATCATGTGTGTAATTCGTGGCACAATTCAAACGGGATCGAAATATACGTTTTCTCTCCCCATTGACTTCAATACATAATTTTTCCTAAATGGGTCGGAAGTAGATGGGCGGGACTTCGCCTCTATATACGAAGGGCTGGGCCACTCACTAGAGGTATTTTGCCTCATAAGTTAAGTTATAAGTTAGCTAAATCAATCAAATGCAGATTGCTCATGATAAGAGGAAATAGGAAGGGTATATTGTCATGTGGATAGCTATTGTAAATTGTAATCCCTGTAATGATGCTGTATGATGTCCTTTTTGTTGTTCTGTTTATGTTTCTATGTTTCATGTGGAACCTACTTGAGCAGGTCTCCCTTGAAAAAGAGATCAATGATCTCAATGGGATACACCTGGATAAATAAAGGTTTGAAATGAAATGAAATATTTCAAGATTGTTATGGAAATAAGTTATTGGGATATTTTCTTATCAACTAAGATTTGATAGAAATTGTTTTCAACTTGAATTGACTGAATGTATTTCAAAAGTGGTCTCATTAACACATGAATACTGTGTAGTATATTTGTACATATATATTTAAGAAGTAAAATCTAAGACAAGCACAAGTTTAATTTGTGGGCCATATTTCATTATACCTTTTGAATTAGCTAAAAAATGGCCCGTGGACCGCATTTGGCCCCCGGGCCGTAGTTTGGACACCCCTGAATTAAACATATTTTGATCTATCAAAACTTAACTCAGTTCTCTGTTTCTGTTTTCACTCAGGAGGCATGAGAGAAGATATTCAATAATTTGAACGAACACGGGCAACAAATGGTTATTTTTCTGGGTGAAATATTCCTTTAACGCTCTCAATGGTCCCAGCTAACGGATGTGTGTAAACGTGTTTTTGTATGTGGTCAATACGGCCAAAATCTTGTAAAACCATATACTCATTAAGGAAACAGTTTATATCCCGACACAGTATTGTTCTGTAGACTCAATGAAGTCATGTTTAAAATAACTATACTATCTTATTTGATTAATTTCCTCTTGAATTTGCCTCACAAGAGACACCACTTGAGTTCAAAATGATAATCTAAAACTACAAAAACATATCAAAATGTAACCTTTAGGGTACCTGAGAACAATCATATTAGTGTGACAGGCATTAAGGTTAAAATGGACCAATAAATACCAGCCTGACTAAAGTCCAGGCAATATTAGACAATATAAAAATCACAAAATATATATATGCATTTGTAAAAGACAAAAAACTCACTCACTTCCTTCCTTGATATCTAACCAAATTCAGGCATACAGGATTCTTAAATAACCATAATCACATACACACTCAGTGAAAGTAACCAACGATCAATCAAAGAATGCTTGATTGATTTGTATAATTAATTGGTTAATAAGTCTCTCACTTGGTTTTCCATCTTCCTCATTCTCATATCACATTAAGAACAACGTGAAAATATGCATGAGGTCACAACGACGTGACTGCACAGCTTTCTTTATAAGGAGCAGTTAATGTGGGGGGGGGATAGCATCTAGAATAACCTCTAAATCACCTTCAATATTCTACATAGTGCTGTGTTTAGAGACCGTAGGCCTGAGGCTTTCAGAGGAGGACGAAAACACTTTAGCGGCTGGACGAGCGGCGTATTCAGAATATCGATTTGAAGCGTTATGAGGAAAATGAAGCGAGTGAGGATTGACTTTGTGGATGTACTGAGTGAACACACACACACGACACCTGATGGAGGAGTGTGTGATGGAGTGTGGAGGAGTGTGTGATGGAGTGTGGAGGAGTGTGTGATGGAGTGTGTGATGGAGTGAGTGATGAGTGTGTGAGTGGAGGAATGTGTGATGGAGGAGTGTGGGACGCAGTGTGTGATGGAAGAGTGTGTGATGGAGTGAGTGATGAGTGAGTGATGGAGGAGCGTGTGATGGAGTGAGTGATGAGTGTGTGAGTGGAGGAGTGTGTGAGTGTGTGATGGAGTGTGTGATGTAGTGTGTGACGCCGTGTGTGAGTGGAGGAGTGTGTGGAGGAGTGTGTGATGCAGTGTGTGATGCAGTGTGTTACCTTGAAGGATGTTCCTCTGCTCCAGCTCGTCGGCTGACGGCCTCTGACTCAGCCGCCTGCATGAAGGAAACACTGTTGAGTCGGCGCTTTAGAAAGGCTCACAGAGGAGCAGCATTGATCTAGAGCTGCATATCAAACGGTCTGAGGGCGGAGAGCCTCTCAAACACATGATTTACAGCATGAAGAGCGGGTGGAATCTGTCACTCTCAGGGGTGGAAGGTACATGTATTGAAGTACTGTAAGTGTGTATTCGAGGTACTTGGACTTCACTTTAATATTTTATTTTCATGTCACTTTATACTAATTTAGACGTTTGCATAAAAAGAGCTGTTTCACTTGAACAATTTATGAAAAATATGACATTTTTATTTATTTAACTTAGTTTTTGTAATGTTTTTATATATATTTTTAATAATACGTATCTTTTAAAGGTAATACTTAAGTTGATTATAATGACTTGTTTTCACTTAAAGGTAGGGTAGGTAAGAATGGAGAAACCAGCTCGAGTGCGCTAAAATTTGAAAGCACACAGCCGGAACAAATCTGCCCCTTCCTTCAGACTTCCTTACAGAGCCCCTCCTCCAACACACACGAACGCGCACATGACCAATGAGGGCACGAGATAAGTTTGTGCACAGATGGAAGGCTGACAGGCAGGTAGGCAAAGCATTTCATGTATTCATTGCTATCGGGATGTTAAGAGCATTCCATGGAATATAACAAAAAGTGTTTCTGAAGTGAATTACCTACCCAACCTTTAAAGATCAAATGCAAAGGTTTTTTTTATAATTGCCAGTAAAATCGAAATCATATAGCAACAACACTATCTAAGATATTGCAGTATTAAAATCGGAGATAATATGCGTCTGGCAATGCGCAATATTTATTTTGTTCAACCCCCAACACCAAGTCCGACGATTTATTTTCTCAGCCGCTCCTCCGCAAGATGGCGTCGCGTGACGTCACAGTGGCCAAACAAACAAACCTTGGCTTTTCGCTCACAGCTGCTTCCGCCGATAGTACAACTTAGTTTCGTTATCATGTCTGATTCTGAGTAGACTATAGACTAAAAGCTTTAGGAATCCAAACTATAACATATAATAAGTACCCTGTATCAAGATTGATGCAAAACAAGTGAAATGTGACCTTTTTAGAGAGGTTTAGAAAAATAAAGTCCAGGCGCACTCACCACTGGGTAATTTGGGAACCATCACAACCAAACACAATGCTAACAGTGAGACTCTGAATTAGCCCCGAGCGAAAAATGCTAACCTATTACTGCACCGAAATCACTCCTAGCTCCCTTATTACTTATCCTAGCTCCACATCCAACACATTGTTTACACCTCTATAAGCACCCACTCGGCTGAAAGAAATGAAAGCATGGCGGAGGGCTTTTTTGATGCATAGGCCTAATGAAGTGGTTAGAAGAATGTTGGGTTTTCTAAGTGCTCACAGTCACTTTTAATTGCGCGGGGGGCATTTTTAATTGGGCCAGGAGGAATAATAGTGGATTTAATCCCTATCATAATGCATATTGTTCACACTTTTCCGTTATGAGTGGAGGAGCGATGAATGAGCTGCAGATAAACTACAATGCTAACAGTGAATTAGCCCCGAGCGAAAAATGCTAACCTATTACTGCACCGAAATCACACCTAGCGCCCTTATTACTTATCCTAGCTCCACATCCAACACATTGTTTATGATCGTAAGGACACAGAATCTAACGGTGCCCACCTCTATAAGCAATACAACTGCAATTCCGTTATCTGCGTTATCTGCTGTGCTCCGTGCGCTTTGAAATCTAATCAAAAGTTATTTACCTCAATTCTTTGGCGTTTCTGCATCGCCCGGCTCTTTCGTTCTTTCAGTGGTTTCTTGTGCTGAAATGTGGAGGGGACGGCTCCGGGTTTCAGCCTCCGACGTGCTATTAATGCTTCTCCACCAACAGACTTCATGATAGCAGGATCAACGTCGTATGCATCACACGCGAAGTGGTCAGAACACAACTTGCTCCATTTTGTCGGTTGCCATCCAACACGATTCACTAAAAAAAATCAATTTTTTGCGGATGATTTGGTCTTTGGGAAATGCATGTAAAACTCTCCCAGATCCCGCACCGTTCGTACAACAAAAAGCTCAACAATAACCCATGTTAATTCAGTTTTCTTTTCGAAAAACATGTGACCGAGACTGCCGAGTCGGGATATTTGGTCCAGAGACTGTTTGGCCACTATTACGTCACGCGCGCGGAGGCTGCTGGGAATTACATGTCAGAAATTCAGACGGCTTTGGGTCGAGTTTCGGATCAATAAAAAGCTTTTTTTTGGGTGTATTATCTCGATTTAAATTTTAAAAAAAATACAGGCAGTCTTAAAAACAACATTTCTATAAAAATGTAGCATATTTGGAAGCTTTGCATTTGATCTTTAAGAAACATTTAACAGAGTGTATTTTTAAAGTGCACCAGCAAAGGATCTGAATACTTCCTCCAACAATAATCAGTCTAAATAATGGCTGACTTCTCACATCCTATTAAACTATAAGTATATTCAGTATATATATGATTTATTTACCGTGTGAGTGCGGATCCGATCTTGTTCCTGACGGCCATCCACTGTTCTCGGTTCTGCCAGCTTATGTCCTGGTTCTCCTGGTTCTCCTCTCTCTCCTCTCGCTCCTGCCGCTCCAGCCTCAGCGCCAACGTGTCCTTCCTCTTCACACGACTCGCCAGACCACCTGGATCACACAACACACAGTTGATATACTACGAGTTATGTATACTACATAGTACTATACATTTTGCAATCCAAACATTAACGATAAGTTAAAATCCTGCATCACCTGACAAAGAATGTCAGTGTTCATGAGTATAGACAACAAACTAAGTCTAACACTTAAATGCTCTTAAAAGAGTGTAAGAGACCATGATCTGGCATTATTATTAACAGTTATATATAAAAAAGACAACTACAAAAAGCTGCTTTGGGAAATGAGGCCCAGAATAATTTACATGTCTTCCATTGCTAGGATCACACATTTTAAATCAAGCATCTATTAAAAAAAGAACGGCAGTGTTCATGATAAAAGTATAGACTTAAACATTTGAATAAAATGTAAAAATGAAGATGCTCTTAAAGGTCCCATGACATGGCCATTTCTACTGATCATAATTCCATTGTTGAGGTCTACTAGAATAGATTTACATTGTTCAATTTTCCAAACTCACATTGGTTTCTCATACAGCATCTCTGTAAAGTGTGTATTCACACTCTGTCCTAAACGCCTTGTTGGAGATCCTGCCCCCCCCCCTCCCTGTGAGCCCAGTGTGCGTCTGCGAGACACAGCGAAACCACACACACACACACACACACACACACACACACACACACACACACACACACACACACACACACACACACACACACACACACACACACACACACACACACACACACACACACACACACACACACACACACACACACACACACACACACACACACACACACACACACACACACACACACACACACACACACACACACACACACACACACACACACACACACACACACACACACACACACACACACACACAGAGTTTGTGTGTGTTCAGGCTGAGTTCCGCGGTGTCTCGCTGTCTCGCCGACCCCACACCAGTGAGCCAGCTCAGTGTCCCGCTCCTCGCAGCAGCGAGCCTCGCAACGTCCCGCCGAATGTGTGTGTGTGTGTGAGGAAGTCCGCGGATTGGTCCAAACGTAAAGGCTCCGCGGACGTAACATCCATTTGGACCAATCCACGGAGCCGTTACGCTACGTCACTATACCCGAAATACGTCTCTATACCCAAGAAGTAAACAATGGAAAAAGAGAAATCCCCAACGAGGCGTTCTGGGGCAGCTAGACAGGTATTTTCTGTGTTCTCGCTACAGGGTGTACTTTGAGGGTTTGTGACTCTGCAGACCGTTTACATGCAGGAAAATCTTGTTAGGGCCAAACCCTCAAAGATGATTCATCTCCTCTTAGTAAGACAAAACAAAGCAGTGAGAGATCTTCAGATTTCACAAGCTGAAGGTTTAAAACTATCCGATATTATAAAACTACTAAATGGTTGCATCAAACTTTTTCTGACTGAAAATACTTATTATGATCAGTTTTAAAGAACATGAAAAAGCAGTATATTTAAAGAACTGCTTTTTCAACTTCTTAAAAAGTCATTTCCAAGCAGTTTTCACACTCGGGTTGATCTCCTATACTAGTATAACTAGTCAAACGTACTTGGGGGCCCTTCCTCATCGTCGTCGTCTTCTTCGTCGTCGTCTTCTCGGTACAGGATGGGGCCGTCGGAGTCGCTCTCCTCCTCGCTGTCGGGGCCCCCCCCCCTCCGGGATCACGCTGACCCTCAGGTCCACCAAGCCCCTCCGGCTGCGAGGCTCCAGCTCCGGCTGGCGGGGGGGCCGGGTGGGGTGCAGCTTCCTCATCTCCTCCTCCAGGTCGAAGTCATCGTCGTCTTGCCTGTGAACAACCACAGATTCATTATTAGTCTTTAATAAACAAGGAAAATGCATAAAAACTCACAAAAATATGATTTATTCCAGATTTATGGATGTAGGAAGCAAGGCTAAAAGATGACTGGCTGTAGGGGTACAACTAACAATTATTTAAAATATATTATTCGTATACATTTGTTTTCTTTTGAATAATCAATTAAGTCATCGTCGTCAGATTTATTATTAATTAATATCAAGGATATATCAATATTCCAATTACTTGTATATAGACAATTCTGCATTATTTCTATTATATTATATTTTATTTACTTGCACTATTATCTGTTTATTTGTGTTGCATTGTTGGAGGAGCCTGTGACCTAAGATTTTCATTGCCATAACTACACTGTAGCTACAGTATGCACACATGACAATAAAAGCCTTGAATCCTTGAACATGCATAAAAACTGCCAAACATATTATTTAGTCCAGATGTATTTATGTAGGAAGCAAGGCTAAAAGACGACTGGCTGTAGGGGTACAACTAGCAATTATTTTAAATACTTATTATTCATATACATTTGTTTCTTTTGATTGATACATTTTTATTTGGAGTCTAAAATCTCATAAAATTGTAAAAAAAAAAGAGGCAATTTTCAAGAACACAAGGGAATGCCATCAAATGTCTTCTTTTTCTCAAATAAATGACGAGAACCCAAATACATTTATTAGCTTTTATGGAAGGCAAATAAAAATAGCTAATAGTCACATTTGTTGGGCTGTACACAATTAACTTTTTAAGCAAGGTGTTTATCCAATTCATCAAGATGTGTTTGTTTGGGAAGCATTGGAGAAAACTCTCTTTAGGAATTCAAGGTCACACAAGAAATGTCATTGATATAAAATGTGGTGGGGTTGAAGACGTACTCCTTCGACCAAATCAAAACTTCTTAAAAATGACATATTCTGCTAATTGTATGGCAGGGATTTTAAGCTTTGCAGACCATTGACATGCACACAAACCTATAGAACACACTACAGGAAAGGGAAAACCCCATGCAGAATAACAGGGCCTCTTTAATGACTAAACAATCCTCATCCTGTGTTATTTGTTCAGTCTGTGGCTATAAGTATGGTTTTATTGTCTCGTGCTTTTACATTTGTTTCTTTTTGTCCTATAGGGTTTTGTCTAAATGTATTTATGCTGCTTTTTTATATATGTATTGATGTACAGCACTTTGGTCAGCTCTGTTGTTTTTAAATGTGCTATATAAATAAAGTTGGATTGGATTGTACAACAATATTTTGTATTACTGCCGATTTTTGTTCCATATTTTATTCCTTCTTATTCCATTCCACTGCAATGTAAATATTTTTCTAGTTCTCTACCTGTGTTTTTAATTCTTGTTTTTATGCACCACGACACCAAGTCAAATTCCTCATACGTGTAAACCTACCTGGTAATAAACCTGTTTCTGATTGGTTGTATAATCGTGACATCTACAGTTTGTGTTACACTTACAGCCTGAGGGGCTCGATGGTGATGGGCAGGGAGTTCCTGGTGGGCCCTGCCTCCGAGAGGAAGTCTGGGGGAGACTCAAACAGCAGGGAGTGGGCTCTCTGGGACCCCTCAGGGTGGGGCTGGGACAGGCCGGGGCTGTTCAGCGCTCTCTGGATCAGGATGTGCAGGGGGATGGCTGGAGGCTGGCTGGGGGGCTTCGTGGTGGGGCTGGGGGGGTCAGTCTGCACCGTGGGAACGGTGGAGGGGGGGTGCTGAAGGGAATGAACCCTGGGGGGGGATGGAGGGATGTGGGCGGGCGGGAAAGGCAGCATTTCAGAGGGACTGAGGGGAGTGTTTGAGACCTCCTCTGTGTGTTCTCCTCTATGGACAGCAGGGGGCGGCGGTGCAGAGGCTGGGTCAGCGACGGGGGGAGAGGGGTCCTTATCGGGGGCCGAGGGGTCCACAGAATGGCGCTTTGTGACGGGGGTCATCCTCTTTGGCGGCGTCGGGGGCGAGCGCTTAGCGGGGGCTGGCACTGTGATGAAAGCACTGCCAGGCTGCGAGTGCTCGGCTGGTAGAAGAAAGAAAAACAGCAGGAATTAATACAAGTTAGAAAGAATCATTCACATTAAATATAATGTACAGGCAGAGCATGAGGATGCACGTCGGTCTGGATTGAAATGAAGTTAGTGCCATGAACAAAAACAAGCAAATTGTCAATAACTAGAGATTAAATGGGGGAGAAAAGATGACGTTAGTGTTACTGGTGATCTGGAGTCAGTGGAGGGTGATAACATCCATTGGTTGAACATCCATTGTTATCAACAAACACATTCAATGCACAGCAGCACATCTAGACTTCCATGCATTGTTTCTTGTCCGCATGGAGAGTTAAGTTGGTTAAGTGTAAACCGTGTAAAAGCGTTATGTAGGTAGAGAAAGAAATAACGTAGGCGAGGGAGTTGGTAATATTCTGAGAAATAAATACGAGATTCCAAGATTCAACTTCAGAGAAATTATAAAAAACTGTGAAGAAAAAATAAATAAACCCTTAATTTAAAGAGATCAAGAGGAATCACACAATTTCGCTAAAGAAAGTCAAATATTCTCTGATGTAAAAAAGTTAAATAAACTAAATTTCTTTCTGAGTTTGAAGTAAAACATTTAAAAGGAAAAACAGGGAAATACAGTGTTGTTTTTAAATGTAATATTTGTATTATAATATTAATAAAAAGAGAATATTTCGAAATGTGTGTGTGTTTTACTTAAATCTCATCAAATTTTGAGTTTTAAGTGTGAGATTTGTGTTTCTATTCTCCTCAAATGCACCACTGAAACTACAAGGGTATATACGTCTTTAAATCTTGGAAATCCTGATTCTTTTCTCAGAATATAACCCCCTCCCTCCGCTCTGTATCTTTCATTCTCTTCCCCTACATTGGCCCCATTACATCTCTATTGTAAACACCTCCTGTAGCTGCAGAACACATGCAATGGCGATTACATGAGGGGAGGTTTTGCGTGTGCAATGAGGCGTTGAATCCAGTCTGCAGACTCTGTTAGGATGCATGGAGGGGCGCCCCCCCCGCTGGGTACCTGAGCAGGTGTGAGCCCCTCTGTGTCTCAGGTAGACGGGCAGCGAGAGGTAGAGGCTGCTCCAGGATCTGCAGGAGGGCTCAGCCTGGCAGACTGTGCTCAGGGACGAGGCTGCACACAACCAGCGAGAGGCAGGGAGAGAGCCAGGTTTACATTCCAGTATGAGAGGAGGGGGGGGATACAAGAGGAGGGGGAGGGAGGGCTGATAACGATTTTCTGGGTTTGACACTGTCCAGAAGCAGAGCGAACATCCACCGTTTAAAAACAAACCGCTGTGGAGGAATAACTCTGAACACAAGCTGAGACTTAGGGTCTACGATGCTGTCAGCTTTAGTCAATGTAATACCCAGCTTTCTTGCTTTTTTCCACTCTTGTACGCCATGTAAAGGTTTCGGGTACCTACTGTACTTACTGTATATGTCTTTGCTTTATTGTAACTAAAAAATTCAAAATAAAGTATGAGATTTGGGATATTTATCGTTGGCTCAGTTTTGTTTTAACTGTTTTTTCACTTTCTTTCTCGTAAAATAGTTCCTCCAGGGGATGAATCACAGAGAAACCCATCTGCACTCGTCTGATCTTCTCAATCCCTATTAGAGCTAAACCTATAAATCATCTGAAATCAGATTATTGCATATATTTTCTATCAGTTTATATGAACTTGCAGAATAGAAATGAAACACTCAGTTTAAATTGTTTTAATTGCCTCCACCCAGAGACGTTAAAACCAAGCGCTGTGGACGAATAACTCTGAGCACAAGATGAGTTTGGTTGATTTGGGATATTCATTTCATTATTTACAGTAAAATAGTTCCTCCAGGGAATGAATCACTCATCTGCATGTGTTTCCTTTCCCTTGGAGCTACAACAGTAAAACCAGAATCTGATTATTGCAGATATTTAGTAACCCGGTTATACATCAGTAAGTTACGTAATTCTCCGTTCTGTATATAAATACAAAAGTTTAAAAGTTATTTAAATAGTCACTTTCACAGCATTTCGACACCGAGAAGCACTCAAAAAGTCTCCTCTAATTTCAGCTTTAATCTAAAATTGTAAAGGAACATTTTCTGTTTTTTCTGTTTACAAATTAAGGAAATATTTCATTTAATTAATTAATTAAATCAGTTATGTTAGAGTAGGCCTTTGGGTAGAAAAGACAAGATAACATGTGCATTTATTTATGTATTATGTTTATAATAAGTCACTAAACAATCTTTTTTATATATATAATATTTAGCATCGTGAGTTGACATGTGTTTTTAATATTAACATTTTTATTTGAAAAAGGAAAGGTTATTAACGTTGTTGCTTATTTCTCAGCAATTTGTGAATTTTTTTGTATTTGCGCAACATCTTGCAACTAATGTCCTATTTATGAGATATTAAATGAAAGTATATAAACTTAAAAGTACCAGTGTTGGCCTCAGATATGGATAGGCTCCAATCCCTGTGATGTTTTTAATATGAAAACTGAAAATATGTCATATTTAAAAAGTGTGTATTTCTAGGTATTGAAAAAAACTGAGAAATAGAAAAACATGTATCCACCAGGATTTCAATGCATTTAAGGTGCGTATCAGCAGTCCAATACACTGACACAGACACTTTAACGACACAATCCATGTAATCCGATTATGTAGCACATAGAGAAACCTGGCTGACGGACAGCGGAGGAATGTGTCAGACTCAGTTTCAGAGAGACAGCACCGGGATTAAATAGATAATATAACAGATGAGCAATCTTTATTAATGAATTGAACCGAAGATCAGTGTTTCTGCCAGACATGGGCTGAGAGGGCGGATGTAACAATTGAGCCGTCCCTTTATAGATATTATCTCTTTACGTATTAGTGATGGGAATTCCGGCTCTTTTTAGTGAGCCGGATCATTTGGCTCGGCTCACTGAGAAGAGCCGGCACTTTCGGCTCCTAAACGGCTCTTTATTTTACCACAGTTTACCACGGAGCCTCAGTTTCGCCGCTGCGAGGCTCTGGCGCTCGCAGTTCATGCGCGTGCTCCACTAGCACCCCCCGTCAAGGCTCGCCGGCAGTACACTTTCCGTCACAGGAACACGCTTTGCTGGCGGCGAAAATAATCCCACCAGACTCCTTGCCCCTCCAACAGAGGGATGTCCTTGTCCTTTTTCCTTTTCGTCATTTCAAGCGATAAAAACTCTCGATCTTCTCTCAAATTATTAATTTTTTGTCAAATGACGGCAAGACGCCCCCCTGGCGGAAACGCTGCCGAGGATAATTGAACAGTAATCCAGCTACACTAAAGCAAAACTGGGAAATACGTCAATGTTCAATGCGATGTTTGCGTCACCGGTTTGTTTCACATGGGTGTAACTAAGTCAGTGTGTTCTTTAATGTAAACAGATGCAGTCTGTCAACACAAATGTGTTCCCTGTGTAAATATTGAAGTCAAACTCTTTTATCGTTAGTCTTGTGAGGTCCAACTTGTTTTTACTAGCTCAATTTGTACCATTTACTACTTTATCTCAAAGATTGTATTCCCAGGAGCTACAGTAATTGAAAGCCTTTTTGGAGGTAATTTGATTAAAAGAAGAAAGACAGATAAACTAAGACCAGCTGTTGATTTTTATAGAAAGACGTCCCATAAAACAGAGTTGATGAACTCACCGAGCAGGGTGCTGTTGCGGTTGGTGGGTTTGGGTGGAGGGACGGGCGGCTGTTTGGCGTGGGGGGGGACGGGGGGCGGAGTCTCGGAGTCAGGAAGTCTCGGAGGATCTTCAATCAACAGGGAGACCGTCCTCGGGGGCTTGGCCACAGCTACAGCAGCAGAGGAAATGGAAGAGGTGGAGGAGGAGGATGATGAAGAGGAGGAAGGTGTTGGACTCCTGCCCGAGTCTGTGAGGAACTTCGGGGGAAGAAGAGCCTGTCGGGTCGGGAGAGGGTCCGGGTGAGAGTCTGGGTGAGGGTCTGCTACTGGACGAGGTTCTGGACGAGGTTCTGAGACGAAGCGGACACCAGCGGACTCTGAAGCGAGGAAACACACAAACAGATGTTAAAGGAAAGAACACAAAAACAGTTCCTACGTTTGAAAACTCAACACAAGGAAAAACAGAAACATTTACAATAAAATAACTTGTTTTTTCTTCATTTGGAGCTTTTATTTGAGCTTTTTGCATGAAGATTTGATTTTCTGTCGCTATATTTTAATAAAGTCATCACGCTAAAAAGTTATTAAAAAGTAACTTACATAATTCTCAATTTAAATAGAGTTTTATTTAATAATATAACTCTTCAGTGCGGCCCCCCCCTCTCCTCGTACAGCAAGCGGGACATCAAAGTGTGTTTCAAGGACGGTGAAAAGGTGTTTTTGGGAAAGTTTAAACGCCAACAAATATGATTTCAAGCAATAAATTAAATAAATTATAACATGAATCTTTTTCCAATAACATTTGATGGAAATAATGATATCTCACGTGTCAAAAACAATCCTAAACCAATCAAAGGGAAGCCAATTCTACTAATAGTACGATACTAATAATGTTGGTTTAGCCTAATCTTGATGTGCAGAAATACCTGCTAAATGAATGAAGCTATGTACTATTCTGTACAGCGATTTCACGTACAGTAAAAGACTAAAAGATACTATCTAGACATGTTTTAGGAAATTAGAAAACTCTACTTTAAAAAACGAGATGTTAATGATCCAAAGATAATGTAGGAAAACGGCCTCATGCTTTGTTCCTTCTCTCTTCTCATGTTCTCCTTAATCTATCAAATCAAAGCTTGATGGTCACCGTTTCACTTTGAGGAAGCTTTCAGACGGAGCTTGTTGGCTTCATAACTCGGTCACAATTACAGTTAAATCATTTACAGTACCATCAGGAGACTTTAGTCTGCAAACACTGGAGGTATTTAATCATCAGCAAAACATTTACTAGCCCACTATCTACTAGGAAATGGTTGGCAGAACTGAGGAAACAGGACTGCATGTTAGCTCACATGTCAACCTGAAATAACGAAGGCACGTGCAAACATGTTAGACATAATTAGTTTGTTGACGGCTGAATCATATTGAAATCTCAAACTCCAGGCTAAGGTTATTTTGTATGAACAAGTATGGCGTACATAAAGGAAATGTCCGAAAAGAAGATTTTGAAACAGTAAACAACCAAACTATTAGTCAAGTAAAACGTCTTGGATATACCCACACGTGGTTATTACTTCAGTGTCAAAGCCTCTGCCACAGCGAGACAGGCTTTGCAATTGGATCAGAGAAGCTCCCTTTTAGAAATACACATCAGATCTTGCTTTCAAATTGTGAGATTTTGGAGATAAACAAAACCGTATGCATTCTGCATCACTGCTCAATCTTACCAAGATGTCCTATATGGAGAGTTTCTGTGTGTCATCCAGTTTCAATCTACTTTCAAAAAGGGTTCTTTCTGGATTTCGTTTGGGAAAACTTTGACTGTCAACTTTCCTTCTAGTTATTTAATTGACTAGGGCTATTCAATTAGTTTGGAATGGGGCCGGTTGATGAAAATGATCCAAAGCAAGGGGCCGGGGAAAAGATGGCTTGAAATATGAGCATATTAAGAGCTTCAGATACAGTAAATACTACAACAGCATAGTGGAGTGCATATATTGTGTTTAATTAAATCAACATAGCCCCAAGGCCTTTATAGATCTAAATGGCAAGTTCAGAACTCAGTAGGCCGACATGTGAAGCTAATTTAACCATCAACATCATTTCATTTGATTTCATTTAGGTGAAATGATCTAATCATTCACGCAGAGATGCAATAAATGACAGGAGTTGTCACTACAGTAGTAGTAGCTGGGTTCGAAACCCGAGCCTGCCGAAGTTTTCAGGCAATGTCTTCCCTCTATCTCTCAATTGAACACCCTCTCTGGAATAAAGGCACTCTGGAATAAAGGCACTCTGGAATAAAGGCACTCTAGCCCAGAAAAAACTCGTAAAAAAAACAACAAGGAAATATCACCCCGGGGCCGGATTTGGCCCGCGGGCCGCCAATTGAATAGCCCTGCCCTAGACTCTTATATTTCAACATGGATTTGTCAAGTTCACCGTCAATAACAAAATATTTTGTTATTAAACTAGATAAAAAAATAAGAAGCACCTGGCTCCAACAAAAAACATGACTTAAAAATCCCCCAAGTAACTTTGGATGCGGGTGTCTAAGTAAAGTATAAAAACACACCTAGCGCTAGGTAAGCCAGTTTTCTCCAACACAAGGGAAAATCTTACCTGAGCGTTCCCTGAACTCTGCAGCCGGTGAGTATCTGGGCAGAGTGAACCTCTTATCGGCCTCCGAGGAGGACCGGATCTTCTTGTTTTCCTCCGAGGAAATTTTTTGCAGAGGAGGCCGCAAGTCCATCTCAGAGGAGGGCTTGGCGATGGGCCGAGGGTCGTCCACCGAGCGCTGAGGCTCCGGCTTTTCCCTCTTATCCCGCTCGTCCCTTCGCTCTCTATCGTTCCTCTTGGCCCAGTCGTCCCTTTTGTCCCGATCCTCCCGCCTCTCTCGGTTCTCCGTCCTATCCCTATCATCTTTCCTCTCCTTGTCGTCTTTTCTGTCGTCTCTATGTTCTCTCTTTTCCCTCTCAGCCCGCCGATCCCTATCCTTATCCTGCTCGTCCCGGTCTTTCCGTTCTCTTTCATCCCGGTCTTTCCTTTCTCTTTCGTCCTTGTCTTTCCTTTCCCTCTCGTCACGATCTCTGCGTTCTTTCTCGTCCCGATCCCGGCGTTCCCGCTCATCCCTATCCTTTCTTTCCTTCTCCTCGCGATCTTTCCTTTCCCTATTGTCTCTTTCTGTCCGGTCATCTCGTCTGTCATCTCGCCTATCCCTCCGGTCGACTCCACCATCTCTTTCCTTTTCATCTCGCCAATCCCTTCTTTCTACGTCTTCGCGGTTCTTCCTCCCCCTGTCTTCCCGGTCGTCTTTCCCATCCCTCCTCTCTTCTCTACGGTACCTATCGTCCTGTGGAGGTCCTCGGGGTAACGATCCTCCTCTCTTATCAACATCGGATGGGAGTCGGCTTCTCCTGTCTGGCTCCACAGGAAGTCGAGCGTGAGAGTCCACGTCCAGAGGTGCTCTGTTACTCCGGGATGCGTCGGACGGCGCTCTGCCTCGACGTTCCTCGGCTTGAGGAACCCGGAGGGAATTCAACTTGGCGTCGGATTCCCCTCGAGACATCCTGTCCACGTCCACAGGGTGTCCATTTTTGACTGGTGGACCTTTGGAGTGGTTGACATCATTGTTTTCTGAAGACACAATCAGTGAAATACAGTCAAAAGGGAGCCAAATAATCAGAATCGTTTTTTACAGAGTAGTTTTACGCATACGAGGAATTTGCTTTGGTGTAAATGGTGCATACAGAGACACAGAAAGAAAAATGTGTTGTTTCTTTAAAATAAATTAGCAAAGAATAGTTCTATTATAAAAACTATTGTAACAAATGAAAAATAATGCCAATATTTACACAAAAATATAAATATGAATATGCACGCATAGAATATCCTCAGAAAAGGCTCGACCTACCACTTTCTGGAATATCCTTTAAAACCCCTCTGGCAATCAGCTCTTGGCGGCTTTTTCGGACAGAAATCCTTCTTTCCAAGACTGAAAACAGAGAATATACAAAAGGGAAAACTATGAAACAATTTTCACTGCACAAAATGGATGAATGCCCCAACACTCAGAGTAGATTCCCTAACACAGACTATCATATTTAAATGTGGATTCTTCAAGTTTGTTGCCAATATCAAAAGATTTGATAGTTTATTCTAAGTAATAACTAAGAAAAGTAACGTTTGTGTCTAATGAAAGCGTAGAGTGATGCACACAACAAGTCATTACAACACCTTTAAACCCAACATACCTATTGATGTTTCAGTAAACTTGTCACTCGGCTTCTTCTTTCTCCATTTCCAGGGTTTGAAGATCCGTCCCATCTTGGAGAACTTTCCTTTGCGTTTGGTTTGTGGCGATCCCCCACTAGAGCTTCCTTCTTCGCTTCCTTTATTGCCTTGTTGCAGGTCGACCTCATCGTCTGCATGAACAGGACAAACGGTAAATTAATCTTTAATATATTTTTAAATATTTAAAGGTTACCTATTATGCAAAAAACACTTATTCATGTCTCTTCTACATCAACATGTGTCCCCTCTTCTTCATGTCTCTTCTACATCAACATGTGTCCCCTCTTCTTCATGTCTCTTCTACATCAACATGTGTCCCCTCTGTGTAAAGAGATGCTGAAAGTTTCAGGAACAAAGATTCTCTCTCTTTTTGTCCTGATCCATTTCTATAAAAACCTGTCTGAAAATGAGCTGATCAGATTTTGGCCACTTTATGATGTCATAACGATTGTTTGTCTTGTGTAACCATTAGCCAATCAGCAACCAAGGTAACCCCCCCCCCTTATCACCTGAATCTCCTCCTAGAGCACCATTGTGTTCTTTGGGCGCTTTCACACTGCGGTACTTTTCCCACAAAGGTTCATGTGAACTTAGTTCATGAGAACTCTTTAGTTCTCATGAAGTACAGATCGCGTTCACACTGGAAAAAGTCCCTGGGGGTGGATTAGGCAAATGAAGCCGCTGACGTCACTTGTTCTTCTTCTGCTTTGGGTTTACTGGCAGGCCGCAAACAACTTCACGGCGTATACTGCCGCCCAAAGTCCCCGGAGTTGGGGACTGGCTTCAGTAGAAGCTGCTGGGACTCCCAGCAGCTTCTACTGAAGCCTTCCGAGTAAATCTCCAGAACGCCGACACCTCCTCATCTCCACCGCTCCCATGTTTTCTTTTGTGTTGCCATAAGTTAGTCTCTCTGCGTTTCTGCGCTGGGCTAATGCTAATGCTAATAATGCTAATGCGAGGATAATAAAATGGCGGCTTCACAAAACTTTTTGGGAGTTTTGCGGGGCGTGGTTTGCAATCCTTCCAGCCAATCAGAAATGTAGCTCTTTTCTCACAAAAGAGCCGTTCGAAAGTCCCTGCTCTCTAGCAGGGACTTTCGAGGGGGTAAAAAGGTTCACATGAACTAATTTTAGTACCGGCTCTTTTTGGTGTGAACGCGATAAAAGAGTTCACATGAACCTTTGTGGGAAAAGTACCGCAGTGTGAATGCGCCTTTTGTAACCAAATGTCTCTCAGAGGGGCGTGGGGAAGGGCTCCTTATTTTCATCTAAAGTAACAGACAGAGAATCAGCACTTTGGAAACAGGGCTGAAACAGAGGGGATTGTGGGTAATGCTGCAATGATCTGTTTGGTGTTTGGAGCCAAACACTTCAGAGACATGTTCTGTATATATCTGAGAACTATAATATATTGATGAAAAACAGTATAATAGGGAACCTTTAAAATAGTTATACTAACCAGGCCTTGTTTTGCCATAATGTATAGCCATGATCAAAAGAAGAACGCAATCAATGTAAACAAAGAAAAACATAAATAGATCAATAAGTTATTTGAACAATCACACGTAGAACAGTTCATTGTGGGTTTGTGTGGATGTCAAGTCCCTGCTATGTTGTCATTTAAAAACCTAGATATTATTAAGGTTTCGCAAAATTCTTGGCATGGATCCTTTACAAAATTGGGCACATTGGAATTTTATCTCCACTCCCGCTAAATGCTCACATCCGGATAACAACTGCTGTGTTCTTAGAGGACAGCAAACACTACAGATCAGGAAATGCTCTGTTTCCGTGCCCAAATTACTGAACAAATTGTCATGATGGCCAGGAAAGGGGTAGGAAAGGGGTAAATAAGGACAACATCGAAAATGAAAACCACAATTGCTTAACCTGTTAACCCCTGAGCCTGTTTTCAGGCCTCAGGCTCGAATATGACATTCCCAGAACAAATGACTGTATCTTCACTTCTAAAAAGGGGTACATTAATAATCTTTTTCTCAAAGCAATGATAAACCTGTGAGTTGGATGTAGAAAAGTCAGAATCAATATACTTATATTTCTAGCTTGCTAGCTGATATCTTGTTTGTGCAGATTCGATAAAGTATTTATACCGTGAGTTCTGTGCTAAGTGCGTTAGCATTTTTTCGCTCAGGGCTAATTTAGACGGTTCTTGTGAGACTTGTGTTTTGTTTCGGTAAAAATGGTTCATATCTTCAGTTAGCTGAGTTTCTTCCCGTTAAGTGGGTATGACACATTAATAGGTTTTTAAATGTTAAGAAGACAGTTTCGTGAAAGGAAAAAAAACAGGATTTCTATAGAATACAATTAAGCATGACTGTATTATAGGATATAAACACACTAGATTATGTCCAATACATCAGATGTTATAATTACCAATATAAACCTGGTGTATGAAGAATGCAATTTAAAAAGTGCATTCCTAATTGCATATCCACAAAAATGATCTGAAACCAAACCAAAACTGTCCCTCTTTTCTGGAGGCAGCAGACCAGATTTCTCGGCTTTAAACGGCCGTTTCAATTTTCTTATATAATAAAACTTTAAACAAAAAACGATCCAAATCTTTTCTCACTGCCTTAGCTGTCATATGAGAGCCAGAGAGTGAAATATGGCCACAGCTTCTTCTGGTACTACTTACACTGTGGTGTGAATTCATGTGATTTATGCCATAGTACAGAACATTATCTACAGGTGTCAAGTTCACCATCAATAAAACCAAAGTAATAATGAAACAAAGTAAAACACTTGTTATACAGAGTTATTATTAAAAATGGCTTTTAATGTGGGTTAACTTTCAATTCACTTTGTGCATGAAAGGTGCTATACAAATAAAGTGTATTATTATTTTTATTTGTACAGAAACCGTGACTCAAAGTTCCCATGGAAGTCTTCTGCCATTGAAAACAAAACACAGCAATAAGTGGGTGTGAAACCACCATAATAATTCTTCAGTCAAGAGTCTCACGGCAGCCGTTACACTGTCATAGTCTGCACACTGAAATGCAGAAGAAGGACATCAAAAGAAAAATGAGGGTAAAGTAAATTAAACACACGCATCCTTGATAAAACGTGAATATGTGTTGCGCCCATAATAAGTGACGAAATTGGATTCCTTAAACATTTCTCAGAAACAGACTCCATGTGGAAAGGTAAGCTATAATCATTGAGTTGGAACTAAATTACCTGTTTTTAAAATACTAATGATATCATTCAGCTATTATGTATGTGCCAATTTAAACTGTGCAATTCAGCATTAATACCTTATTAATGCTAATAAAACACTGTATATATTGTAATATCCATAATGAAATATACCTGTAATAATTGATGTCACCTGTACAATATGCAGTTTTACTTCAACTTCCTATGTTTTTATACATATTTGTATTCTATGTTATATGAACTTATATTCTTACATTACTGAATGAAACAGAGTTCTATACATTTGAGTAAAAACGATGTATAAAGAATAAAATAATATAAATCATTGTGGACAGCCAATAAGAACCGGGGAGAAATATTGTGTTTGGAGCGGACGTCGAAACAATGGAAAGCAATGATTAAAAAAAGTGACGTTGGGTTTCTTTTCAGCAACACTATGACCGACTGATTTCACCTGAATGAAATCTGACAGCTGAGATTTACCTGCCTTACCAAACACTGAAGATATTAAAAGGCTTCAGGTTTGTCCCACATATGTTAGACTGAGGGATTAAAGTGGATTTCTACCTTTAATAATCACTATAAACCCTGCCGATGAGTTTTCAAAGGTCACACAATGAGGACATTATTGCATTTTGAATGGAGGCGTTGATAATTAATGCATTATGTATTTTTCCATCACTAGAGTTTGATCAGTCAGGAATATAAGAGCAGGGTTAGGGTCTTTGTGTTCTTGTTGCTGGCAGTTTCCAAACAGTTCAGATAAATGTGCTTAATGGTGGTCAACCTTAATCTCACCACATCCTGTGGACACAACCGTGTGGTGGTCAAAACATCAGATAGTCATGTTGTGTAGTTCTCCTATTACCATTACACAATTGCAATATCTTTAATACGTCTCCAACCAAGATATGCTTTCGTTTTTAAAAAGAAAATACAAAGTCTGAGCATGATTCATGGATCCAGAAATGATTCTTCATGTATTGCTAACAATGGGAACACCAAAAATGAAAGGGTACATATGTCCAGATTTTAACTATTCAAATAACAGCACAAGACTTATTTTGCAGTTCCCCTTAATTGATAGCCTACATTTAGTACAAAAACACTGAATACCCACCCAAAGAACGACTATCAGAATAGTCGAATATTGAGGTCCAACACTGAAATATCCGCAATAACATTTGGACATGACAGATGTTTTGGTTCAGCTTTATCCAGTTAAGCCCCACGGGCGGGGGCAAACCACAACATCTTGCAAGAAACAGCGTCTGAGTGCTTCTTAACATTTAACAGACTATGAATGTGTCTCACTTAACGGGAAGAAACTCAGCTATCAGACAATATTAACCATTTTTAGCTAAACGAAACAAAAGGGTAATAACAAAGGCTCTGAATTAGCCCTGTGAAATACCCTTATTACTTATCGGATCTGCACAAACAATATAGCGATTAGCAAGCTGAGATTCCACAGATTCCAGACATAAGTATAATCACTGAGCGATCAGAACTTGCGACATGGGAAGCAAAACCAGACATCACACCACGTAGCTTTACGGAGCAAACATTGCCAATTTGTCTTACCTTTTGCTGTTTCTGATCAAAAGTTGTGTTCAATGGCATTAAAACGAGAAAAACGCTCCTGAAGGTTAATCCATAGGTTAATCCAATGTGTCTGTGTCACTTTGAAATGATTACTGATCATCCATCATTCCATTTTTATGTCAATAACAAAGATTTCATATTAGCTGCTACGATAGCTACCAGAGTGTATGACAGCTTCCGGTTCCGGGGCATTCTGGCTACGCAGCACTCATTCACCAATGGGTAGTGTTTAGATGAATTTTAGGAACCTCCCCTCGATTCTATTGGCTCTAACGTCTCAAAAGAGGTGTCAATCATCAAAATTGACAGAGGGGGGCCAGAGATATGGAAAATGCACCCAAATGACCCCAGAAGTGGTTTCTTTTTTCTAAATCTCTCTAAAAAGGTCAAATGTCACTTGTTTTGCATCAATCTTGATACAGGATACTTATTGTTTGTTATAGTTTGGATTCCTAAAGCTTTTAGTCTACCATCCCATCATTCAAGGGTGGTTTTCACTATAAGTAATGTGTTTTTTTTGGATGGAAACTATAATTTAAATGTTTTCAATGTTCAATCTGAATTTACTTTAAAATAAAAAAAATCTATATTGATTCTGACTTTTCTACATCCAACTCACAGGTTTATCCTTGCTTTGAGAAAAAAGATTATTAATGTACCCCTTTTAGAAGGGAAGATACAGTCATTTGTTCTGGGAATGTCATATTCGAGCCTGAGACCTGAAAAACAGGCTCGGGGCTCAACTGGTTAAGTGACATAACCAATTTAGAATTCCCCCGTCAGTATAGCAGTATAGGATGCCTAAATGTGTGAGAGCATTCTGCTGACTAATCCAAAACATCCGTACTGTCCCCGACACTGTAAACATCATCACTTTGGCAATAGAGGCATCCCTCGAGAGCTCAACACGTCAATAAACTGGCTGATAAATTACTACTCGAGGTACAAACCTGACACAAGACATTTCCAAACGATTGCACTGCTGCAGTGAGACATATCACAAGAAAGATGTTTACTCTTCAGCCTTGACCTTTTTATTATTGACTCTTTGTCTTTACACTACTGGGAGCTGATAAAATGTCACAGCTTCACAAAGTAAGGTTTCAATTAGGCTGTGTGTCTGTAGGCTTTAGTTTATGACATCCATTTCTCTATGAGCCGCCCTGTTTGTAATCTTTTATGTGGGATAACTGTTTTTTCTGGGTTTAGTTTTAGTTTAGTTTGCATACATTGCATTAATGCTAATGAGATGAGGCTGTTTAGCTACACATATCAAACATATTGCTGATTGTTTTTACCAAGACACCGACAGTTGAGTCACAGAAATATCCAAGTAATTGATTAATGCTATTTAGTTGCAACTACTAACGTTAACAAAAAACTATACTTTAGTACCAAACAGTGTTAAAATACTGATCATACTTGTTAACTGTTAGCAGCTAGACGGCAGCACAATCCTTCTTAGGTAAATAACAAAGCTAACAGCTAATGCTTACGGTGGTTGCATTGTTTTACATAATGGTGCGTTCAAGCTTTATTCAGTTAAAAAAGATTATTGGTGATTTATAATCATGATTTACATAAAAAAAGAACACAAATAAAAAAATGTATCAAGATCTTTACAAAAACAAAGACAATTCAAAATGTCATTTTTGGCGGGAAACATGGAAAAATACAGTTAGCTGATGAAAGTGCTTTCACAGCAATATTATTACATTACATTTAGCTGACGCTTTTATCCAAAGCGACGTACAATAAGTGCGTTCGACCAACAAAATACAAACTTGAAGAAAACAGAATCATATAAGTACATCAGGCTTCATAGAGCAAAAACATTTCAAGTGCTACTCAACTGGCTTTAGATAAGCCAGTCCTTTATTAGTATATAAGTGCTTTGTTAATAGTTCTATCGCTCGAAGTGGAGTCGAAAGAGATGAGTTTTCAGTCTGCGCCGGAAGATGCATATTAAAGAGGGAATATGACCTGTTCAACTTACTAACAATAACAAGTTTGCAAATGGTGCAAAAGGAGTGAATTTTGAGTCGTTTGAACTTAGGTCTCAAGATTAATGTAACTTCATTTCCAGTTTTACGACATCCCTCTGCAAAATGCTAACATGCTTTGGTATCAACCCAGTGTAAGAAACAATGCAGGCTGTTGCATGTATGTGTGAAACCCCATGCTGAAATGCAGGCAAACAGAGGTCAGTGAACTCTCAGCTACTCCTGACACATAACCCAGTGGGTGTTAAACTGGGAGGAGTGATGGCGGTGAACTGGGAGAACACTACAGAAGCAGAGTGTGATGTGGTGACGTTGCACAGTAGAGCATGACAACCTGAGATGGTTGTTTTTCACAGAACCAACAAGAGAATTAAAAAGGCACCGACCCGTGATGGAGGTAAAAGATAGTCAAGAGCGGAAAAGTCTTACAAAGCTTAAACCAAACACCAACACTCAGGCCGCAGGTATGCATTTATAAAGAGACTCCAAACAGCAACGCTTGTTTCAACAGAAGTGAAGCAAGACCGTAGCAACAACATAGGCTTGAACCATTCTTTGTTAACTGCCGACGTGTCTGTATATTGAACTGTAGCTATTTTAAACCGATGTAAAGCTGATCAAATATATAATTTGGAATCATTTAGTAGTTATTGATAGATTAGTCCTGTTTTTGGGGTGTTTGGTTAGCGTTTAAGGGTTGTCAGGGGTTTAGTTGGCTTGTAGAAGGGGTTTCTGTATATCTCCAATTCTAGATGTGTTAGTAAGATATATTAGTGTCAGTCCCTTATTCTCAAGCTTCAGATAGCTTATTGAGGTGTCCCATTCCACATATCTGCATTTACCTGTTTTTTCAACCGTTGGTGAATACAATTAATTGTTCCCGTAATGGTGGAGCCATTTAAACCTGCACTGATGTAACTCCAAGCAGCCCATATGACTCACCCAATCACAGGACAATTTAACACCAACGCCACAGAATAGCACACCAGAGACAAAAATACAGTTTGCATGGAGTGTCAATATGCAACGAAGAGGATGTCATCGTGTTTCATTAAGGCACGAGTGTCGAGAAGTGTTTCAACCCTTCAGTAACTAACAGAGCAAATATTGACCGATAACAAGTTCCTTTAATTAAACTAACAGCACGGCAGAAAAGCGGTGACAGACGTGCGCAATAGATGCAGGATTCTTTAAGCTGCATGCTGAGTTATTAGGGGGGAATCGAGCAAGTGTGCAAACCTGAGAGAGGACCCTCCTTTTGACAGCAAAAACAGGTTCTTAAAGTTTGCACTGTTATTAGCTTAGTCAGCGAGACATTAGGTGGAGTTACAGTATGACTAGAAAGGTGTTTTAGTAGGAAAACAGAGTGATACACATGGGCAGAGCTGGTGTCAGTCGGTGCCTTGTACCCCCACATCTCTGGGGGAAGGAGCGTTACGTGCAGAGAAAAGGGTTGCATAAGTATTCTTATTGAAATCACAATATGGACTAGGGTTGTAACCACATTGTAGTAAGAGCAATATTTGGTCAAATCAGAATCCCTTTTATTAGTCATACAGCAGGGAATGTTACAGCAACGGTGACATGGCAGAAGAAAGGCAAGCAATAAAAGACATGTTGAATATATAGAAGAGTAAAGCTACACATTCTGAATGAGTCCCGGCCTACAAACGGCATCTTTCTTTGGTATTGTTAAAACGCTTTTCAATCACAATGTGACGTATGTTTCAAAGACGATCAAAACTGGAATCATGTCGCAATTGTAAAATCAGCCAATATGATCCCAACTTTGTTATTTTTCTCGAATCGTGCAGCCGTGTTTCAAACAGAGAGAAGTTTGTTTCAACATTTCACAATCACCACATTCCATCTGCTTGCATACTTCTACACCTGTCTGTGCCTGCCGCCTCTCACGCCGCTCTCTCAAAAACACCTGGAGACACTCGCCCCTTGTTGGGTTTACCTTACTTCGAAAACATTCACGACTCAAGCTGTTTTACCGTCACGTATACAGTCAAACAGGCAGTTGCACTGTACAATGAAGTCCTTATGTTTCCACTCTCCATACCTAAATATTAACAAGCATATAAGATGAAAACTAGCATAATGTAAACTGACATACATGAAAAAAGTCCTGTCTCAAAAGATGTGCTGCACGATAAAACAAAAAATAAGATATTTAAACAGCAGGGTAGAGTACAGTGTTTGAATGTATAAACAAGCATAAGAATTGATAAATGAATCTGTGCACAACAACAAACCCTCTTGTTAAAAAAACAACAACAACTTAAGGTTTTCTTTGCCATAAGAACACCATAGCTACTGAGCATTTGACAATAAAGCCTTTGAATCTTGAATTGAATCCACAGCAAACAGAGTCTAAACTCACCGGTGTTGTGTGTAGCTTGTTGCTGGGCCACTGTCTCACTGCTAGCAGTGTGTCCCATGCTATGGCTCCCGTCCCCACTGGCCTGCCGGGCCCTTCCTCCCCCGAGGTCGGCGGCAGGTCCTAAAACTTAAAGCCACCTCGCTCGTCTAAAACCAGACATATCGGAGCTCCGGTAACTGAACACTGTGTGGTTTACTCTCCTGTCTCTCTAAAAGTCTACCCCTTCTCTCCCTTCAGCCTGTGTTTTCTCCCTCCCGTTTCCTCCCCTCCTCCTTCTTCTTCTTCTTCTTCTTACACTTTAAAACACAAACCCTCCCCTCCCCTTCCTTCCTTCCTTCCTTCCTTCCTTCTTGGAGCACTGACTTCATAAATAAGGTACGCCGATATGGTAATCCGGCCACATGCCTGTCATTCCTGAGAGCACATTTTTCAGGGACAAAGTTCACGGAGAGCTTTGAGGTTTGGCCACCATTCCATCAAGGGATCGAGGGATTTTGGATGCAGTGCCTTCCCCCCCCCCCACACACACACACGCACAAACACACACACCCACAGACTGACTCATAGGGCGGGGGGGGAGGGCCCTGCAGGGTGGAGGTAACCGGAGAAGTGGAAGGTGAGCCGAGCAAAGGTGGAGCTCAAAGCCAGAGAGCAGGAAGTGACTCAGAGTCCAGTGACTCCCCAGGGTTTGTCCTTTTAAACTGACATGTGAACTAATAACACCTTTATTAGATAATAGCAACTGTGTTGTACAGCTACACCTGATCCCTTTCACTATATGGGCATGGATTAAGGCTGGGAGGTTATTCAATATTCAGTGTTTAGTGTCATGTCTTAAATTAGAATGAAATGAGTTTTAAATTAGACTTTTCAAGGTGCTGGGCTTTATGGAGCAGTTTAAATATGAGTACGGTATTTAGGCCTGGGGGATTTTATAATTGATGGCATTTAATGATATATATTTATCGAGATATCATGCCAAACAATGAATTTGTCTAAATGGATTTTAAAAAAAGCAAATAACTTAATTTTTAAGGCAATGTGTTGAAATATTTGGAGGGAATTTCTTTTAGATTTGACTTGAAACTGTTCATATTGCATAAATGTAAAAAAAAATAAAAAATTGCACACCTTTTTGTCAGGTATTATGAAAAATCATGTGGTAGTGAAGAAAGTCATAATTTCTGAAAAATCTCACTTTTTTTCTTTAAAATAAAATCTTACTTTTTTTTTATTGAAAATCATATTTTTTTTCTTTAAATCTTGAATATTTTCTTTAAAAATCTTACTTTTTTCCTTTAAAAATCTGACTCTTTTTTCTAACACTTAAGCCTTTTTTTCCCACAAAATTCGGACTTTTTCCTCTAGAAATTGTTTTCCCCTCAAGATCTGGACTTTTTTTCTTTAAATTCAGACTTTTTTTCCTTTACTTTAATCTCAGAACTAAAAAAGGTAAAATTAAAAAGTTAGTATTAAGTGAAAGAGGAGCTATGAATGTGTTTAGTCATGAAACTGCTAACTATTTAAGCATTGCCACATCACTGTTGCTCCCTCTGCAGCCTCACTGACAGAGGAACGTCGGGAATGCAAATCCAGCATATTTGGAAACAAGTCGGCAAATCGGCCAATAATCCAAGAAATCTCAGGTAAACAAAAAGGGATAACATCCAAAACATAAATCCGTTTCCAAAAAGCAGCAGCAGATGGAGACAAACACATTTCTCATCCACATGAGAACATGAATCCCAGCTGAACAAAAACATGACTCACACAAATACCAGCACACAGTGTCATAATGACAACCCAAAAAAAACATTCAAATGTGACGTAACACGAGTAAACACACTGGGGGACTTTGCCAAATCTGGTTAAAACACAACAAGTCGAGTTCTTAAATTACCATGTCTTCTTGTCTGAAAACACATCTGTTTTTTTAGAGGATAGGGCAAAGAGGAAGTCTGGTTTATTTTGGTCCAGGTAGATCAAGCTTCCTTAATCTGTTCCTGCAGTGACCCGAAAGACTGTAAAGGGATCTAAAGCCATGCCCTGTCCTGCGTTTAAATACAGCAAAGCAATGAGTGATCACTTGCTTTCAATACGGTCTCAATCAAATTATATATATATATTATTGTAATTATTTATTGTCTTTTATTGTGATTGTAGTATTTATTACATGTACAGCACTTTGGCCCGACCAAAAATCTCTTTTAAATGTGCTTTATAAATAAACTTTGATTTGATTTGATAACTATTCAACACATTGTACTCATGAACAGATACAAATACCCAGTACCAAAGCATTAGGGCTCAGACACTAAATATAAAGGATTTCAAATATATCTTACTAACGTGTAGAATTGGAAAGAGTTCATGTATTAAAACAGACTAAGCTAAAAACACCTACAAATGAAATGTCACTAACATTAAATACTAAACACAGCTTTATGTCAGATTTAAAACCAACCACAGCTATTTTGTCAGTCAAAAATGTAAACACTTAACTGAAAATAGAGATATTAACTGAAATAGAAACGCAGCTTTACTCACGAATATATTCAGAGTGAACAGCCATCCAAGATATTTCCGTAATGTCACTACACAGTTGAGTCTGGGTTTAATAATCCTCTGGTGTTTAGTGCAGTGTGTCTGTCAATGATACTGAAGGTATAGTGACAGCGAGAGAAACTGCTAACCTACAGGTGTGTCCTCTGGGTGAGAGCCAATCAGATCGCAGCACAGGGACGCCCTTTTAACAGACAGATTCATAACCACACACTTTGTTTGTTGACTCACCGCTTTCCGTCATCACGATACTACGGCTCAGATAACAGCAGTCTCACTGGGTTTATAAGAGATGTCATAATGTTTGTTTTATTTCATAATGTATTTTTACACCTCTGATGCAATGGTATGTACAAAGAATATACGAAAATAATGACAAAATATATGAATTAAACCCGATACAATTTTGATGGTATGACATCAAATTAAATACAACATATATTATATTTGATTTAGATCATTGATGAATTGATTTATATAAACAAATACAAATAAAAAGGTAGGGTTTTGTATTTCTTTCTTTTTTAAAACCTAATGATGTAAAGATTTGCTTAAATTTGGTTAATATATTTTATTTTTATAATTTTCTATTGGCAAAACAACATTTTAGATTTAAATTGTTTTATTTTACACCCTTCAAATCAGATCAACCTCAAATCACATGGATGTTTCTACAGGTTTGTGTACGTCTTTTATGCAATGGTTTACAGATAGAGATCAAATGTATGGATACAACATTCAGATTAAATGCTATCAACCTCAGATTTAGGTCTTCAAATAGATTTGCTTTAGAACTTTTATGCAACAAGCGAAATGGAAGAAGTAGGAAAGCGTCTTACCAGGATTTTCCATCACGTGTCCAAAACTCAGCAGTCAGCAGCTCCTGAAACAAACCAACGGGATCATTAAGACATTTATTTATTAAAATACATTTAAATAACCATAATAACACAGCAAGGCAAGGCAAGTTTATTTATATAGCACTTTTCAACACAAGGCAATTCAAAGTGCTTTACAAAAAACGAAAGACATTAAGAAAAGGGCATTTAAAATCAGTCATTAAAAAGAAAAGCTAATAAAATAAACATTAAAAGAAAAAGTACATGGATAAAAGTTACAGTGCAGTTTAAGATGTGAATAGTTCAATTAAAAGCAGCGACAAAAAGAAAAGTCTTCAGCCTGGATTTAAAAGTAGTCAGAGTTGCAGCGGACCTGCAGGTTTCTGGGAGTTTGTTCCAGATATTTGGAGCATAATAACTGAACGCTGCTTCTTCATGTTTAGTTCTGACTCTGGGGACAGAAAGCTGACCAGTCCCTGAAGACCTGAGAGACCTGGATGGTTCATCATTTAGCAGGAGGTCAGAAATGTATTTTGGGCCTAAACCATTCAGTGCTTTATAAACCAGTAGCAATATTTTGAAATCTATTCTTTGACACACAGGAAGCCAGTGTAAAGACTTCAGAACAGGAGTGATGTGATCCACTTTCTTAGTGTTAGTGAGGACTCGAGCAGCGGCGTTCTGAATTAGCTGCAGCTTTCTAATAGATTTTTTAGTGAGACCTGTGAAGACACCATTGCAGTAGTCGAGTCTACTGAAGATAAAAGCATGGACAAGTTTTTCCAAATCCTGCTGTGACATTAGACTTTTAATCCTAGATATATTCTTTAGGTGATAGTAGGCTGATTTAGTAACTGTTTTAATGTGACTGTTGAAACTCAGGTCAGAGTCCATGACTACACCTAGATTTCTGGCTTTATCTGTTGTTTTGAACATTGCACACTGAAGCTCAGCGCTAACTTTTATACGTTCTGACTTGGCTCCAAAAACCATTACCTCAGTTTTATCTTTGTTTAATTGGAGAAAGTTCTGACACATCCAGTCATTGATTTGTTCAATGCACTTACTCAGTGTTTGAATTGGAGCATAGTCTCCTGGTGAAATTGTTACGTAAATTTGTGTGTCATCCGCATAGCTATGGTAACTTATTTTTGTTGTTTTTCATTATCTGAGCCAGTGGTAGCATGTAGATGTTAAAGAGAAGAGGCCCCAAGATGGAGCCTTGAGGAACCCCACATGTCATATTTGTCAACTCAGATGTGTATTTACCGATAGAAACAAAGTTGTTTCTGTCCTTTAAGTAGGATTCAAACCAATTTAGAACTGTTTCCGAAAGTCCCACCCAGTTTTCCAGTCGGTCTAGTAATATGCTGTGGTCAACAGTGTCAAACGCAGCACTGAGATCTAATAATACTAACACTGAAGTTCTGCCACTGTCTGTGTTTAAGTGGATGTCATTAAAGACCTTTACAAGAGCAGTCTCAGTGCTGTGGTTTGGACGAAAGCCTGACTGGAACACATCAAAACAGTTATTTAAATGCAAGAAATTACTCAACTGTTGAAAAACAACTTTTTCAATGATTTTACCTAGAAATGGGAGGTTTGATATGGGCCTGTAATTGTTCATTACTGAAGCATCTAGATTATTCTTTTTTAAGAGCGGTTTAATGACTGCAGTTTTCAGGGCCTGTGGAAAAATACCGAGTGAAGAGATTTGTTTACTATATGAAGTAGATCTGAGGCCATGCAAGGCAAAACATCTTTGAAAAATCCTGTTGGAATAATATCAAGGCAGCAGGAGGAGGATTTCAGAAGTTGAATAATGTCCTCTAGGTTTTTATCATTAATCTGATGGAATTGTGTCATGGTGTTTGAATTGATG